TTTAAATCAGTCATAGTCCTAATAGTCTTAATTGATTCTGGGTCAGATACTGAAGTTTGAAAAAGGAGGCAGGGAAAGCGGAATAAAGTGTTAGCCTTACTGCAAGCAGTTAGCCAAGCCTTGCTGCTAGATAATTCTATGAACTTGTCAATCAGCCGCATTCTGAGCACTGTAGCAGGAGGTGGTGTGCAAATAGAGTTGCTTTAACTCTGGGCACAGGAGAGCTGTTCCCCAGGATGGTTTTATCTATTGCATTGAAGAGGTGCTACTGCGCATGAACAACTTTAAACCAGAGTATATGGACAAAGATTTTTGCGCCCCAGGGTGGAAATACATGACCAATCCAACAACGAACAAAACAGCTTTGCTCATCATTAAAGATTAAATATTTATCTTGCAAATCTAAAAAATATACTAAAATATTTTAATTTTATAAATTAATATTTATTTATGTCTTAATCAAGATCATCATGTGGGCCAGCCCCCATATGTTATATATGTAAAAAAAAAAAATGGAATAAAAGCAAAATGAATGTTTTGTCCTGCATACAGTAATAATAGGTTCTATAAATAAGGTTAGCACTAATGACCAAAAACTAGGAATTTTTCTTTTGTCTAACTGATCTTAATCATGTGATTTAAAGTCCCCCTTCTCCCGACTTCACATAAATAAATATAAGCAGAGCATAATATTGGAAACTAAAACTGCCGATTAAGAAAACAATAGAGAAAATAGATGTTTCAGGCTCCAAAACTTATAAATTGTTTGTACCATTTTTCTCACACCCTTTGATCCTTTAGATAACCTGTGCAATGGGAAGTTTCATAAACACCTACAGGACCTGTATGCCCCTCTGGTTGTGCGATATGTGGACCTGATGGAGTCATCCATTGCCCAGTCCATTCATAGAGGCTTTGAGAGAGAGTCCTGGGAACCTGTAAAGTAAGTACATCCATTTTTGTGGGTTGTGACTAAAATGAATCATCCAAGATTAAAGGAATAGTACACCCAAAACATGATTAGCCTTCATT